CCCCCCCCCCCCCCCGCAGCTGGGCTGGGCATTACAACTGGTGTGGAAGCTGTATTGGGATTATTGGCCGTTTGCTTGCCCCCCCTGCCCCCCCCCCACAACAACAACCTTAGATGTTGCTAAGCTGGCTTGTTTCCCGGAACGTAGCTTAAACCTTCTGCGTCTTTCGTGAAGCAGGTTGCAAATCCTTGGTTACCTCTACTGGTTGTTTTAATCCCAGTTAAATATTAGACAGTTAAATGCTCACAGGGGCTGCCAATAAACTTTAGATACATTGGGAATTTTATTTTTTTGTTAAGCCGTGGTTTGTGGGCTGCTGGCTTCAAAATCACGGTTATCCAGATGTTATCAAAATTTACTGGAAATTGAGGAGGAAAGTTTATTCCAGGTGTTTCCAAACGTGACCCCTTTAAGACGGGTGGACTTCAACTCCCAGAATTCCCCAATCAACCATCCCTGTTCTTTTTTCCCTCCTCCTTCCTAGAGTGGAGAGATTGAAGAGGAAGGGATGACAAGAGAGTAAGCAGGCATAGAGAATTGAAGTCTAGCTAAGCTGGCTGGGGAATTCTGGGAGCTGGAGTCCACAAGTCTTAAATCAGGAGTCTCTAACCTTGGCCCCTTTAAGCCTGGTGGACTTCAACTCCCAGAATCCCCCCATTCAACCATCCCTGTTGTTCTTTTTTTCCCTCCTCCTCCTTCCTAGAGCGGAGAGATTGCAGAGGAAGGGATGACAAGGAGAGGAAGCAGGCAGAGAGAGTTGAAGTCTAGCTAAGCTGGCTGGGGAATTCTGGGAGTTGAAGTCCACAGGTATTAAAGGGGCCACTGCTTTATTACAACTCACTACTGGACCCGGCTATGAAACCATACGAGGATTTTAAAAGGGAAGCAAAAATTAGTCCCGATGAATAACGTAGGAGATTTTTCCTTTACAAAGCTTGCCGCTTCTGCGTCCCGTTTTTAGAAGTCCTAATTGCAGTTCACCTTGGCGAAATGAAATAACTGGTGGAATTGCAGGGCGACAACAGTCGCGATGCAAGAGAAACGAAAGGGAAGCCCAACAGAATTTTGGGGGGTTTCCCAGAGACATTACACTGGAAGGGGCCACGGGGGAAAGTGGAAGAGTTGTCGAGGGGGGGGCCAAACCATTGTACGCACTCATAGAATGTAAATTGGGGGGGGGGGAAACAGCTCAAAATAAAATCAATGCCTGAAGGGGCTGCATTTTTTTGTTTAAATGTTTTTTACAAATGTTCTATTGTACTTTACTAATTTATCTGATGTGCTTTATCTATAAATCGTAAGGCATAGGGCGCATGGCTAAAAGGAGCATGTAATATTAATGGCATGTATATGGTGTATTTTGCAAATGGGGAGGAACTGATATATGTGGGTTGCAGGTTGAGTTTTGAAATAACGTTGCTTCTCGAGATCCTACGTATTTAGTATCTTTTAACGACCCCATAATCCCTTGCAGGGTGGAATCTGGGCAACGGAATGGAGCTAGCAGAGTGTTTACTGGCCGGATGCCCTTCCTATCACCATGGTGGAGTTATATTTGGCAGATATATCCTCATTGTGCCCAGAGAGAGAAATACGGCCTCTACCTGGGATCGAACACACAGCCTCCCGATTGTGAGGCGAGAGCTCCACCTCTAGGCCATTGCATCATTCCGGTTTTATGTGTTAATATCTAGGCCATTTATCTGATTAAGCGCAGCGTTTGTTCATTGGGAGGGGGGGGGAAAATCTGCTTTTTCTCCCCGTTGTCCTCAACTTAGGACCCCAAATTGAGCTCAAGATTTCTGCAGTTGTTCAGGGAGCGTTGCACCCATTTTACAACCAAGTTGCAGCAATTGTTAAGTTAGCGGCGTGGCTGTAAAGAGACGCAAAAGGGGATCACGTGTCCCTGGGATGTTGCAACCGTCATAAATAGGAGTCGGTTGCCAAATGCTTAAATTTTGAACCTGTGACGATGGGGATACTGTATCGGTCGTAAGTGTGTGAAAACTGGTCCTAAGTCCCTTTTTTTCAGCGTGTTGTACCTTCAGTCGCTAAAGGAACTGTTGTAAGTCGAGGTGTCATGCCCTTGTCAGAATCAGACTGGGAAGCAGCTGATGGGGTGGGGGCTCCGTCGGAGGAAACTGGGGAAGGGCACAGTTTGGCTGGGCAGAGCAGTGGAGAGGTAGAACAAGGGAAAGGGGGCTCAGAGGAAGACCCAGGCCCACCCTCTCTTCATCCTAAGGCATGCAGGAAGGAACGGAGAAGGGAGCAGCGTGGGTTGGGTGTCTTACGGGGGAGGGAAGGGCCCTGATTCCCTTCATTACCTACAGCTGGGAAACACCATGTATAAAAGAGGGAAGCTGTGCACAGCAAGCAAATGTGACTTTATCTTGTCTCGTGGTGGCTTATCTGTGTTCCTGGCGTCTTCCCAACTGTGCTTTCAAGACTGAATGTCCTTCTGCCCTGTCAAACTAATTACTTCAATTTGGTTTGTTTGGACTTTAAGTTACAGTTTGTGTTGACCATGTTTTGGACTGAATTTTCTGCAGTCAAAAGGCTGTTCCTGGGGGAGTTTTTCTCCAGCCAAAAGGTAATCTGGACATTGGAGGCAAAGTTGGAAGAGACTCCTACTGATTATGTGACTGGATTGCCTTTGTGCCACGCCCCTCTGGGTCATCACATGACTGCCTGTCCTGCCATCAAAACCTGCTCCTATTTGTGTTGGGACAAGACCTTCTCTTTCCCAGAATCTGGACTCGTGCGTTAATCCGAGGTGGGATAAGGGCTAATCTTGCCTTTTGTCTTCCCGGCAGGAGAATGACTGGACACCGTCCAGCTCCAACTCGCCGCTGCGTCCGGAGAGCGTAGTGGATAGCGATGGCTGGGAATCCACGCAGTCGGACCTGCACACCATCGAGACCTTTGTGAAGAAGGCCAAGTCGTCGAAGAAGAAAGCCGCCTTCCGGCGCTTGAAATCCGACAACTCCTTGCTGGAGAAGATGAAGTTGAAGGACTCCCTTTTCGACCTGGACCCGGTGGGGAAGCAGCCGCCTCCGCTCGCCGGGCCCAAAGTCCCCGCCGATCGGAAGAAGGACAAGCGGAGCCGGAAGGCTGCCTTGGAAGGCGGGGCCGCCAAGCGCAACCGGAGCGAGGTGGCGGTCGAGAAGCGTTCGCGCATCAAAAAGAGCAAGAAGCGGAAGTTGAAACGGCCGGAGCGCAGCGAGAAGCCGAAATACAAAACCTCCGTGAGCGAGACAGACTCGGAGGAGGAGGAGGAGGAAGAAGACGAGGAGGAAGAGGAAGAGGAGGAGGACGGAGCGGTTCCTCTGCGGCCGGGTGGGGAGGAGGAGGAGGGGGCGGGGGCGGCCACGGCACTGGTCTCGGCCCAGGCGCCGCCGGAGCTGCTGGCAACCGATTTCCCCATTAAGCTGGAGGACACGGAAGGGAAGGAGGGTATCAGCCCGGAGACCAGCCAGGATGGGGAAGGAAGCTCCAGCGAAGGCGAGATGAGGGTCATGGATGAGGACATCATGGTGGAATCAGGTGAGATCACACACACACACATACAGAGACACACACAGACACACACACTGCCTCTCGGGAGGGTTCGGATTCGCCTGTCAGGGATTCTCCTTTCCGTGTCGTCCTCTTTCTTACGTTGGCGGAACGATCATTTTTGAGTTTAGTTCTTTTTTTAGAGACCGGGTTAGAAACTGGGAGAGCGGGAGTTCTAGTCCTGCCTTAGCAATGAAAGCTAGCTGGGTGACTTTTGGGCCAATGAGCAGTTAATGACAGTTGATTTCTAATCCCGCTTTTAACGCACGAAAGCAAGGTGAGTGACTTTGGCCCAGTCACCAGGAGATGGGGAGTTCTAGTCCTGCTTTAGGTATGGCAGCCAACTTGGTGACTTTGGGCCAATCACCTGGAGATGGTGAGTTCTAGTCCCACCGTAGGCGTGAAAGCCAGCTGGGGGACTTTTAGCCGATCACCAAGAGATTGGGAGTTCTAGTCCTGCTTTAGGTATGAAAGCCAACTTGGTGACTTTGGGCCAATCACCAGGAGACGGTGAGTTCTAGTCCTGCCTAAGGTATGAAAACCAACTGAACGACTGGCTCAGTCACTAGGAGATGGGGAGTTCTAGTCCCACCTTAGGCATGAAAACCAGCTGGGTAACTTTAGCCCAATCACCAGGAGACGGGGAGTTCTAGTCCCGCTTTGGTCACGAAAGCCAATCCTTCTCCCTCTCTCCGACTAACCCACCTTACAGGGTTGTTGTGGTGGAGAAAATAGGAGGGAGGAAGAAGGCTTAAATATATTTGCGACTTAAATCATTCACATAAAGGAATAAAGGCAGGATAACACACACACACACACACACACACACACACACACACACACAGCCCGCAAGCAGGAGACCCTACTACACCATTTCTGTCAGATGGGCAGTCCAGTCTCTTCTTGAAAGCCTCCAGGGATGAAGCTCCCACAACCTCAGCAATAAGATCCATCATTAATAGATTAACAGAGTTGGAAGGAACCTTGGAGGTCATCTAGTCCAACCCCCCCCTACCCAAGCAGAGACCCTACACCATATTTCTGACAAATGGCTGTCCAGTTTTTTTTTCTTGAAGCAACTTCCATGTTTCTGTTTTGAAACTTGGAGAGACTCTTAAAACTTAAGGACCAAAAGCCATTAAGTCGACCTGTTGAATTTTCAGGACTGCAGGCCGTCCTCATCCTTATGCAAGTCTAATCATTAGGGGAATTTTGCCCTGTTTTACGACCTACCTTGCCACGGTCGTTCAGCGAATGGCCACAGTTGTTAAATCACCGACACCGTTTTTAAGTGAATCCGACTTCGCTTGTCAGGTCGCAAAAGGGGAATTATTACTGCAGCAGCCATAAGTGCATGCCAGTTGCCAAGCCTCTCAACTTTGATCACGTGACTCTGATTATCTGTTATCTGAGGTCTTCTTCACCATTCACCAACCCCTTCACCATTTCTTAAATGAATTTTTATTTTATTTTATATTTACAATAATTCCATCTTTCATTTCAAACCATGTGTGGACTGGGTGCCTATGTCTTGTGTTAACCATTATAATTCTTTTCTTACCAATATAGCAATCCATTTTCTTATATAACTTATTTAATATATCTATTTTTTAAAAAACAATCTTAACTTATTTCTCTATATATTCATCTACTCCGTTTTAATTTGCTTTACTTCCCAACCATTGATAAAAATGAGTCTAATACCATACATAATATTCCATTTCTCGTTTTTCTTTAGTTACCAAGGTTAACCTATTCCCCTCTGTGTCAGGTTTCCAAGCGAGGACATCCATTTCGAAAAGAAAAGAGCAACGTTCCATCTTCCAAAACAAATTTCTTTTATTTAGGGAAGCAAAAGTCACATTCCCCCATAGAAGCAAACCAACGTTGCCTGATGTTATCCATCTTTACCTCCAAGTCTCAGAAGGGTCAGATTTCATTCCCACGGGAACGAGAACCTCCTAGCCTAAACAACTGTCTCTATCTCCACTCCTCCCACCTAAGGAATGTGGCAAGGCCAAAACTTCCCCCACCATAACCACCAAAGAGAAAGAAAATGAATATATAAGACTAAATAAAATAGCTATGCAGAGGTCAATTGCAGGCTTGACATTCTGCACATTCAAATGTTTTCTCAGTTACTTTTCCCTCTATCGGTGTCTTGTCACTTTTCCAATTCTGAGCAAATAACAATTCCTTGAAATACCATTTTCATACAAACAGCAGTCTAGTCCCTGAGCGCAGTCTGCCTAGGCAGATAACACATTTTCTGAAATGTCTCAGTGCTTCATAGAATAGAATAGAAATAGGAATAGAATAGAAATAAGGAGAAGGGAAGAGAATAATGGACTGAAAGAATGGAATAGAATAAAAATAAGAATGAAATAGAATAGAAATAAGGGTAGAAAGTAATAGAAGAGAAGAGAAATAAGAATAGAATGGAAATTAGAATAGAAAAAAGAATAGAATAGAATTCTTTATTGGACAAGTGTGATTGTACACACAAGGAATTTGTCTTTGGTGCAAATACTCTATGCATAAAAGATACATTCAAGAGTCCCGAATCACAGGTACAGCACTTAATAATAGTCTTAGAGGGTACAATAAGCAGTCAAATCATACCAGGAAACAGTCAATATAAATTGTAAGGACACAAGCGACAAAGTTACAGTCATACAGTCCCAAGTGGGAGAAGATGGGTGAAAGGAAGGATGGGAGGATTAATAGTAATTGTAGTGCAGACTTAGTCAATAGTTGAACAGTGTTGAGGGAATTATTTGTTTAGCAGAGAGATAGCATTTTGGGTGGGGGGGGAATTGACCTTGTGCCTAGTTGTTCTGGTGTGCAATGCTCTGTAGCATCCTTTTAAGGGCAGGAGTTGAAACAGTTTATGTCCAGGATGCGAGGGGTCTGTAGATATTTTCACAGCCCTCTTTTGGACTCGTGCAGCATACGGGTCCTCCATGGAAGGCAGGTTAGTAGCCATTGTTTTTTCTGGCGTCCGTATCTGTCCCGTTGGGTTGCAGAACCGAACCAGACAGCGATAGAGGTGCAGATGACAGACTCAATCCTTCCTCTGTAATTCTTTTGGGGGTGGAGGTGGGGAGGCTGCCTTTCTCAACGCCCCCTTTTTTTGCTTCTTTTCCAGGCGACGACTCGTGGGACCTCATCACCTGCTACTGCCAGAAGCCCTTCGCCGGGCGGCCCATGATTGAATGCAACCAGTGCGGCACCTGGATCCACCTCTCCTGCGCCAAGATCAAGAAGACCAACGTCCCCGACATTTTCTTTTGCCAGAAATGCAAAGAAAGCTCGCGGAAGCAGGCGCCGCCGGCCCCTCAGCCCCCCATGGCACTCAGCGCGACGGCCCCGCCAGGGTCGCGGGCAGGCGGAGGGGAACCCTAGCACAGGAGTTGGGGGGGTGGGGGTGGCCTGTGGCTCTCGGGCTTTCGTCCTGTAGAGGGAGGGGAAAATAAAAACCAGACTCTGGACAGGGAGCATAGAGAGAAAGGGGAGGATGCCGTGGTTGGGAATACCGGGGGCCCGAAAACGTGGTGGCAGGCCAGCGGAAGTGGCAACGGTAACGACTCCGGCGCTCGGTCGATCCTGGCTAGGCTGCAGCGGACCCCTCCTTGGCCTTAAACCCCACCCCACCCCAGCCCTCTCTCCTGCTCGGGGGTGAGGGCTCGTTCGGGCGTTCAGCCGATCGGGAAGGTCCTGTGTCCACTCTTGGGGCCTCCGGCCATAGCGGGGAGGTATTAACACAGAGTCTTTCGGTTCCCTTTTGAATTCTCTTCTTCCTCTTGTCCTGCTCCACCACCACCCACCACCACCACCTTCTTCTTCTTTGTAAATAGAAGACAAAAAAAGAGTTTTCGTTTTTTTTTGTTTTTCCTTTCCTTTTCCTGGTTTCTTTCCACACACATACACACCCCCTGGGCTCAGTTGGTTTCACTGGTGGGAAGGTTTTAAAGCACCCCCAGGTTGCGGTCCTGAATAATTTTTTCTTGCGGACTCTGTTTGAAACCTCCGTTGATATTTTGTTTTTTTGTCCCCGGCGGGGATCTGAGAAGGCCAAAGGGGGCAACCCCGATTTCTTTGGTTGCGCTTCGAAGAGGAGCGCAACTTGACTTTGTTCCTGTCCCCCCCACCCCACTTCATAGGGAGGGGGGCAGTGGCCCCTTTTGAGACCGGTGGACTCCAACTCCCAGAATTCCCCAAGGCGACTTCGCTAAGATTTCAACTCCGCCTGCAATCTCTCCGCCAAGCAGGCCAGCGGGAATGGGGAATTCTGGGAGTCGAAGTCCACAGGACTTAAAAGGGGCCCCCCTCCACTTGGGAGACCACCAGCCCTGGTTCAAACCAATGGAGAGGAGGAGGGGGGGATTTCTTTGGATCCCTCTCCCCCCCCACCTACATCTCATGTTGACCGGACCTTCTGAGGGTGGGCAGGAGCGAGATAGGCGACTGGCCAGTTTTTTGTGGGGGGTGGAAGGAGAAGTTGGGCCAGGCCATTCTTCCCTCCCCCCCTTTTTTTGTTAAAATATTTTCAGAGGTGTACATGGCAGAGTTTTCGACTGTAAATAAAGAGACGTAGACCCCTTTGCAAGTTTCTACAGCGGCCTCGGCTCTTCCTTGATGTTATATTTTATTTGGGGGGGGGGGGGGGGGGAGGGGGGAGAATAAGCAGGTAGACTGCCCTTCCGCGGGAGGCTTACTTCCGGCCGCGCAAGCGCCCTCGTGAGGCGTGACGCCCGCTTGACGATGCAGGTGCTCACTTCCGGTGGCGTCTCCCGCCCACCACTAGCTTGGCCATGTGACCCTGCACGAGCGAGAGGGCGGTTGGACGGCCATCGGGGCGTGGTCTTGCGTGAGGGCGGTGAGGGGATTCTGGAAAGGGGCAATAGAGTGGCGCGTGTGACGCATGCGCAGTAAAGAAATAGCCGGTGTATTTCATGTGCGCCGGAGGTAGGGCAAACGGGTGCCTTAAGCAGGAAGCGAGTATCTGACGCATGCGCACTGAGAGGTTGCTGTAGGGCGACACTCCGGGGCGGAGTGTTGCCTGAGCGCATATGCGCAGGAGGGCGAGACGGAGAGGAGGGCGGAGTCGTGTAATTGACGCAGAGTGAGGGCAGTAGGACGACTCTCTGGGGCGGAGTGTTGCTTGGGACGCATGCGCGCTGCAAAGGAGGGAAAGGCGAAAGCGGCACGCCTATGAAGCATGCGCACTAGAGAGGGTGGGGGAAAGAGCGAGGGCGGCAGGATTCCCGGGAGGCGGGGTTCCGAACGTGACGCACACGCACTACAAAGCGCTCCTCTCGGCGGCGACGTACGACGCATGCGCTCCGAAGAGAGGGCGGCGGCCCGCCGCTCCGTTGGGCGGAGTCGCGCGCGGTGACGCATGCGCGCCGGGAGGGAGCGAAAGCGTTCTCGTGCGCTGCTGCGGGTGGGGGGG